AAAAATAATTATATACAGCACACACAATTATATTATTAAACACAGACTTTTATTTTGGATGCGATTAATCGCAATTAATTTTTGCACAGCCCTAATATATATATATATATATATATATATATACTGTATATATATATATATATATACTGTATATTATGGTTTCTAAAATACTTTTTCCTATTTCAGGTTAATGTCCACACTGTAGAGTCAACTATGAATACTCCATTCTTAAATACGTGTTTTGCTCTATTTGTTTGACCGATCATAGACGGGAGTGTTTGGGAAAGCTATTTCAAGAAAAAGATTTACAGAAATTGCACACTTCAGCTTTAAACAACTATAAAACTGCATTACATGCACAACACAAAGCATCAATTTCACATTTTCACACACAAAACAAAATCTAAAGACACTGTAGACATGAACAAACATGTGTGTGTGTGTGTGCTGTGAAACTTACAGTGTGAATCCTCGTGAGATGACCTCCGTCTCCTGCATGAGACGCAGAGATTTGCGAGAGAGACTGGTCAGCGCTCGGCTGTTGTTCACCAAACCCTCCAGCTGGACGGCCAGAGACTGGACGCGGCGCTGAAGAACCGCCTTGTGCCATAGAGACAGGCCGCGACAGGCACACATAACACACACCAGGATGGCACACAACCACAGAGCCAGCTCGTGGTCAGGGTACGAAAAGCGCAGGCCCAGCAGGACGGCTAGCAGCCCGACCAAAACGGACACATCCCTGGGACAGAGAAACACGTCAGTGACATATCGGCTTGATAACGAGGTTTTTGTTGGTATTGATGTGGCTGTGTACCATAGAGAGGGAGGCGAGAGGTAGCATGGCGCTGGGACGGCAGTGCTGGCACTGGGGCAGACAGTATCAGTGGAGCCCAGAGAGAGCACACTCGGATCCAGGAGCTCGATCAGCTCGATGTCCTCCTGCAACAGCACATCCTGAGACAACAGACAGCGCAGAGAATACTGGCGGAAGGCAGCGTCCTGCGGGAAAACAAACACAGCGGCTAAAAATCAATCTAATTATCGGATCAACACTGCCTTGCAGCAAAACTGGGATTCTGTGCTGTACACACAACACAACAAGATCCTAGTCTCTGAATTACTGAATTTTAAAATGATGTGATTAATATCAGTTAGATCCGATAGAGTTGGAATCATTTCAAAAGGGTAACTAAAAATAAAGGGAACATTTTAAATATTTATATATTTTAAATGCACTTTATAGTTATACAGAAATCAGTGTAACTTGGAAATGTATTTTCTTTATTAACAAACTTTATTAAGAAATGTGTCTTTATTTGTTATTTATAAACAACAAAAAATGGTTTATAATTTTTTATTATGAAATATAGTTTAAATATTAAAACAAAAATACATTTAGAATTAATTAGATAAAAAATATTTTTATACATGTTTAAAAATGATTTTAAAAGTAGATAAGTAAATATTACTTTAAAAAAATCTTAAACATCTGCCAATTGCTTTAAATTTTTCTTCAATAAAAAAATAATATTTTAAAATTTAAACCACTCATTTTAAATCGTTAATTTTCTTTTTTTTTTTTTTTTGATGTAAAACACATATCTAGATCTAGTGATCTTATTAAGTGCCTTCATACATAAACAACTGTTTTCCCACAAATATTATTGTGATTATGCATATTTTACACATGATTGAAATCCACGTGGGTAAATTTACACACTGTCAAAACGCCGTAATAGTCCTGCTACTCTTTGACACTACTGAAGGAAAGACGAGCAGAGAGTTTCATTCTCACCAGCTGCTGCTCCTGCCAACGGGTGGCGCTGTCTCGATGCAGAGGACTCAGACTGCGCAGGGCATCAACCAGCCTCCAAACACCACCCTTCTGCAAAATACACACAGCACACTATAGATTGAAGAAGAAAACCAATGTAGGTCATACTGTCATTCAAAGCAGGTCAAGTTGCTAAATACTGCATAAGTAAATTCGGGCGGTAATATGTTAATGAACCAATGAGGTTGTGATGTCCATTTTTAAAGGTCCCGTTCTTCATGTTTTTTTGAAGCTTTGATTGTGTTTACAGTGCGCAATATAACATTAGACTCATATTTAGCTTTATTAAAAGTCAGATGCTGGAGTTGTGTATCATGTCCTTTTGAGTAACATCCCACAGACCGACTATTGATTCCTGTCTGGGTCATGATGAATCACGATCGCACAAACCACATGTCTGGGAGGTTTATTATTTTAGCCTACACACTAAACATCCCGTCGTTAATTTGAAACAAAGACAGATTTGATATCTTAAAATCTCAGAAAAAGTGTGTAGTTTTGGGAAAGTATAGTGGTCATTCACGCTCAAACTGAGAGGTTTTCACTGTTTTGTCTTCCTTTCTTTCTTCATGTCTTTAGTATTCCACTGCTGTAGGACTCACATTCTAGATGCTTTGACTGTGTGTCAGACAACTGAAGAATAGAACGAGACTCTCTCTCTCTCTCTCTGTGAGTGTGTGTGTGTGTGTCGCCGCAAACTGGGAACGCAAACAGGGACAGCCTGAACCGTGTAAACTTAAGACAATATGATGCTCTCTGTGAAAACTTTACAAACAAATGATAAAATAAAGTGTGTACGTACACACAAACTAAATTGTATTCAGCCAAAGGAATGAGCTCTGTTGTGGGATTTCATCACATTCCCAAACAAGACTGGATAATTCTTCAGTCATTCATCACTTCCAGTTCCTGAGGTGACCATGAGACCGGCCTTCACCGTTTCACACTGATGGCTGTTGTGACGGGATCCAAACACACTTGATTTTTCCAAATCATTTTTTTTTAGAGTGAAACACTTATGTAACTGAGACTAGGGAGACTCTTTCACTTTGTAAGAATTTAACAAAAAAAAATATATTTTGAGGTACAATAAAATATGTATTTTATATATATTTTAACGCTAGGATTCTGGTTAAAAGTGAACATGAAAGATGTAACAGTTTGTGAATAAAATAAATGACATTTTGAATCTTTTGAATGTGTAAAAATATAAATGATAAATAGAGTCCTCGCTACAACTATAATGATAACGGCACAGAGAAACGATATCGCTGGAATCACTTTCACAGCGTTTTTTTTTCCAGCTAAGGAACGATAAAAACATTGACAGCCAATCAGAATCCATCCTTGAGCATTTAAAGTGACAGTGCATGCGCTTAGAATAAACAGAACGATGTTGTCTGCTAGTGTGGATGCTAATATAGTTATCTTTATAATTATCGTTCTTGTTGTGATCGGGCCTTTAGTATTTTGTTTAGACAATTAAAAGAATTAGTAACATATAAAGGTGAAAACTAATTAGTAAAATTTAAGTATTTCACACAGGGAATATGATTTATGTTCCAAGCGCTATACAATTGCCAACAATAACAATCTAACTTTTTCTATTAAATTTAATAATATGATCAAGAATTTCTCATTATAACTCTGTTACATATAAATATATACATGTTTTTAAGCCAAAAGATGGTAATTACATTTGTAGTAGTTATGGGTTATGAATGAAAAAAAATAAAAATAGTATACTTGTATAATATTTAACTGTATTTTTTATTAAATACATATTATGCATAGCTTTCTTGGACTAAATAAAAATTCTGTCACAATTTACTCAATTTTAACCCTGTGGGTTCAGTTCTAAAACACAAAAGGAAAAGATTTAATGCTAACACTTTACAATAAGGTTCATTAGTTAACTACATTAGTTAGCATGAACTAATGATGAACAGCGCTTATACAGCATTTATTAATGTTTGTAAACGTTAATTTCAATATTTACTAATACTTTATAAAAATCTTGTTAACATTAGTTAATGTGCTGTGAACTAACATGAACAAAGAATGAACCGCTTTATTTTTATTAACTAGCATCAACGAAGATTAACAAATACTGTTATAAATGTATTGCTCATGGCTAGTTCATGTTAGTTAATACATTAACTAATGAACCTTCTTGTAAAGTGTTACCGATTTAATGAACTAGCTGTCAGTTAAAAAAAAAAAGCATCATGAAAACATTTTAAAAGTACTCTAAGTCTTCAGAAGCTAAACAATAACTAACTATGTGAAAGAAGCTAAATGAAATCGCTATTATATTATATTGTTTGCACTTTTTTCCCACTTTCATTTGATGGAAAAGCGCAGGATGAACATTCTGCTAAACAACTTCTTCAGTGTTCAATGGAATTCAAGGGCATACGGGTTTGGAACGGAGAATAAAATAACAACATAATTGTTATAACTTATTGGATACAGAATATTCAGTATTGGATCAGTCTCTTTCAATTTCAATGTGCGTTTCAAAAGCTGTGTTGGTTACGAAACAACAATTCAGATTAGCATTTAATCCGCTTCTTTCGTTAAACACTACTCAGACGAGGGTCTTTAGAGATAGTAGTCTGCTACCGTACGGTTTGCGTATTGGAGAAATAAGTGCTGACACTAACTTTGTGAGACGGGGGGATATCCTGAGGAAACGGTGCCTCCTCTCCACCAGCGCCGGACTCCTCCTCCTGAGAAACGGGAGAACATGCCTCAAAATCTGTGTGTCCTAGATCCTGCAAGTACTGGAACAGCGGAGAGTTCTGGAGGGGCGAGAAAGAGACAGCTCTAAATAAACATGAGTCAATGACAACTGAGGATGTCCAAGAAAGACTCTTCTTTACTTTGGCTTTTGAAGAACACACATTTTTCAACCGAAGTTTCTGAAAAATGTCAATCGGTGCAAACATCACGTAAAAAATACGATTTTAAATACATCCTGAATGTGTGAACATATAAAGCATTTTCAAACTTTTTTTTTTTTATTATTTAATGTTTTTGAATCATCAATATGGCGTTTTATATGAGATATTCTGTTTGACTGCCTGAACTAACCTAAAATGTACAATAAGATGACTTTTAAAAAAAATATTTAATGACCTAGGTCCTAGTAGAGCCAGACCGATATATCGGCCGATATTAGGCATTTTCCAAACTATCGGTATCGGCAGTTATAATGGCCGATAAATGAATATTTCAAAAATAAAATAAAAAACGAACGAAACTCGCTTGAACCATCTCATGAGTGTTGGAGTTGTATAGTTTGTCCACCAGAGGGCACTCTACACCGTCCCTGTTGGCAAAACTCATTGAGTTGGTCACGTTACGAGACATACATTGCTTGAATAACAATTAAAAGAACATCCCCATCAGTTCTCTTAACTCAAATAAGCTTGACACAATTTGTGACTGTCATGTCCAGTTTTGCTGTTGTTAAATAAGCCGAGAGTGAAGCGGAATTAGCTAGTAATAGTTACGTAACAATGTGACTGAAGCATTTCTTTAATAACGCGTGACAGCTATAGCAATGAGACGCATCATCTCTCCTTGGCCTGAAAATGTACGTTTTACTATTTGTTGCGCGTTTCTGAAATAATAATTTTTTTAAAATATCGGCCGATATATCGGAATATCGGATTTTAAAACCAATACAATTTTTTACAATCGTATCGGACTTCAAAATCCTTTATCGGTCGAGCTATAAAACATGTCCATTTTCAATGTATTCTAATTCTTATGAAATAACAATTCTAATAAATTACGCCAATATCAAGAATATTTTAATTCCAGCAATTTCATACCAAATTCTTTCTCGCATGGCATTTATTTTCACAGGACACAAACTTTGATTTGACAAAGATTTTCCAAATCATTTTATTTTAGCCTAAAACTTTAAGTTGAGGGCGGGACAACCTGTCACTCACATGACATCACAGCAATAACAAACTACAACCATCCAATCATCTCCCGATGAACAAAATCATGCCCTACATTTTTTCTTGTTTGAGAAGCATTTAACTCGGACATACGTCACAATAGGGAAAAACTTCCATTTCATGCGGACACACACATTTATATTCAGGACTGGTGAATTTTACATGGAAGAAACACACTTCGATGAACAAACAAGTAAAAACCATACAGAAGAGGAAGGGAGGAGAGCGAAAGAAAGAGGAGTCATGATTCCGATATCTCTCTCAGGAAGTTACGGGTTGTGCTCTCCCAAAAGAGAAACACCAGAAACGACATGCTTTCCTGCCCTTTTCCTCACTTACCTCTCGCACATCTCTCGCTCTAGTCTTAGATCTTCTCAAACGTAACATCGCTCAACGAAGGATGTAGACGCGACACTCTCACAGGTCCCAATTCGCAAGCAGAGATCCAGGATCACTGGCTCATTTCCACTGCTTAGCATTGCCACTGGATTTGAGTTGCTAAAGAGGTTTAAAATTCTCATATTCTAATTTCGGTCAAATCCTTCAGTGAGGTAGCCCGCCACCCGTCATGAACTTTGGATCTTTTTGCTCTAAAGCTCATTTGCAGTGAGAGGAATCGGTTGGCGGGTGTTCATTGATGTGAGAGAGCAGCTCAATTGGCCTGAGGCGAAAGACACAATTTTAGGTCACCAAATGAGAGCAAACTGAATCAGACTGTTTTTGTTTTGAAGTCTGGATCGTACGTGATGATATTATATACAACAGATACAACGCTTTAAAAGCATGACCCAAGTCTGGCCAGCCAACAACTGTCCAAAATACACATAACAGGAGGTTTTCCGCAAATTCTGACCAATTCACTTCCACAGCCTTTCCCAGTCGTTCACATGTTTGTTTGTTTGGTTGGTTTTATGTAGAAATTTCTTGATGATGAAATAAGGGTCAGCAGCATAAAGGCAAAAAAGTACATTAACTATTGAAATACTCAATAAGATGTTATTGACCCCCCCATTTTCCATGGGTACCCATGAACCCAGAAGTAAACATATAAAACTGGAAGTTAAGGGATAATTCTGTCATAATTTACTCACCCTCAGAACCTGTATGATTCATTTCTTCTGAATAAAAAGTATAACAGTTGTTGTTTTTTTATTCTCAAATTATAATATTTTGTGCGCTACTATGATGGGAATTTCTGGAATTTTACATTTTAAAATTGATATTTGTATATACTGGTGTGTGTGTATGATTATGATATCATCTTATATATATCATCATCTCTTAACAAGACCACATATTTTTATGAATATATGATGAATCAATATGTATAATTTCAATGGATAATGTCTAAATATAGTGTACAACAGGTGATCATTGTTACAAAACAAATAGTTACAGTCTTACTCCAGAATTATTCCCTATATAACTGTTTGCTCAACTGTAATGTATTCTAACAAACAGATGAAATGAAAATAGGTCTAATATCTAGACCTAAGCATGTGACAGCATGGTTTCCCTGGTGGTTGATCTGACATTCCCAATCCTGACTCCTAAAGGCGGATCATGAACACACATGCTTTGATGCACAATGCTCTTAATTCAATTTAAAGAGACTAAAACCAAACAGACCACGTAGACAGAGAAAAAAGAAACTGTCTACATTTACAGTCTGGCTGTGTAAGGTACCTTCCTAAACTGTGTCTCAAAACACTTATATTGACAGCATTTTCAAACACCATATAGTAACCAATGAGCTACACCCATTGACTGCATTTTAGGGGAATTTTAGTAACAAAATATAGTGAACTTCCTTCTTAGACAACATTTTTGGACACCAATATCTAAATCCTTATTGAACTGCCAATCTAGATAGCATTCTTAGCCATCATAAAGTACCTGCCTACCTAGACATCATTGCAACCTAACTTAGTGCTTGACCCGCCTATGATGCCCAAAAATGCTATGTAAGTAGTTAGTCAGCTCACTACAGTCTCTGACGCTATGTTCATACAACATTTACGTCTCCTAACATGTTGTAATATATGAAAAAAGGAGACAGGCCTACTTTACAGACTTAATTAACCCCAAAGTGCTTAATAAGCATCTTCAAGTCATTGTAGAGGTGTATGGGTAGGAGTGTTATACGTGCTAAGTGCAGGCTGCTAACTGCAGATCATCTATCACAGACATTAGAGCAGCTGTTGTATGTCTGGATGAGAGACTTACCTCGAACACAACTTCTTCATCAAAATCCTCAGTCATAGCTCTCCGCCATATGTGTTCATCAGTTGCGCATGCTGGGATGGAAATTACAGGAGAGGTCTGTGTAGCTTCTGCTGAATGCGCAGAGACATGACATTACTTGAACTACAATTCCCATGATTCATAGCTTGTCTTCTTCTTCTTCTATTTGACGACGGTTCGCAAAATGTAGGCCTACTTTATGACATCTACTGGGCTGTTGGTCTTGATTTATTTGTTCAAGGGATATGTTTCACCCGAAAATGAAAACATCAAGAAAGTCTGTTCACTCGACTGGCCATTTTTTGAAGCGCCTCCTGGCAACTATTTTAGCTTGAAAACTGCTTGCAGAACTGACAATTAAATAAAATATTTCAAAACAGCAACCAAATCTGAGATGAACTGCCCCATAACGTTGTTTCTTATGTTCAAATAGCGTTAAAAAAAACTTGTTTTTCAGACTAGACCAGCCAAGCAATACGCACGTGCAGTCCTAAACCCGGGTCTCAGGTTTCTATGGGAACCGGTTCTAACGGCAGCTGCAGTGACGCAATGCCTTCACCAAAAAGAGGCTGAGGTTGACAACATTTTCATTTTTGTGTTAACTATCACGATTTTACAACATTAATTGTTACTTCCAATATGAGGGGGAAAATGTTGTGGGTTTTAAAAACATTTCCCGAAAGCCCTTATATTTTAATTTATATCTTTTTTTTATTTTATTTATAGAAATCACGTGTTGTATTGATTTATTTCGTTTTCATTATTTATTTAAATTGTATTAATACTATTTATGTTGGGTTTGTATTTTATTTGTAATTTGTGTGTATTGTTATTCATTAACATCACAACATGTTTTTAATAAAAAAATAATATTTAGTATTTCAAAACAACTACTGACTGATAACTACTGTTGTGCAATCTTGACAATAAAATAGCCCAGTAAATTGGATTATTCGAATTATTATGAAAATGTTATAATATAGACTGAATTAACTGTTCTCAAACATATAGCCAATTAATTCCATGTTCCCCAATGAGGAATAATAATTATTTTCTGTATGTTTTAACTTTAACACGTCAGAAATATCCCACTACATTTATTTTGTATTCTTGCCACAGACCGCATTATCAATACCATCTACTTTCTATTCATAACCCTCAATAAGTGGATGTTCGATTCGCAAAAGAATTGTTCTTTGGAATCGGATCTGAATCTGTGAAACTGAATCGCTCGCTTCTTGCCTTGAATTCGGCTTATGTTTAAATGAATATGAACTATTAATGAGCTACTGTAAATAGAGATAGCCACGTTGCTAAAACATTTACCATATTTGGTTGTTGTGGTTGTGAAATGCACATTTTCTTGTTTGCAAGGAGCATTTTAGGCTTAAATTATAATGTGGTTAAACCCAAACAATGTATATTTTGAGAAAACATAACCATTAAGGTGACATAATCAAACACATCATCTGTTTATTTATGGAGGGAATGCATAACTGAATCTGATTGTTGAAACACATTGTTCTGTTCAATGACTCGCTGAATGAATCGGATCTCCCAACGCTCACAGTGAGATCGCCTCTAGCGGCGAAGCGCGAAAGTTTTTATTGAACTCTTTGACTGGACTTCGCCGTTCCAGCTTTACAAAAGCGGTGGCAAAAAAAACATGGAAAGCATGGAACTCATTCCAACTCAGTAGAAATACAAAGAGTCTGGATTATCTTTTGAAGAAATCGAGTTGTCTTCCCCTCTAGGACTAGCAATGACTCCTGCTAGAAGAGAAGAGCTGAATCTGAAGGAACTGTGCTGAATGCAGCTCATTCATGGAGTAAAGAGAGTCGTTTGGGGATCATGAGTACAGGTTAGTTTCCTGGATGAATAAACGTCAGCTACTTCTGTTGAACACGCAGTGAAATGTAGGGCAAAATGTTAAGATGTTGCGATATTTAACAGTTTCATTAGAATATTTCCAAGTGTTGCAACCGGTGTAACTTTTACGAAGTCGCAGCCTCAGTGTTCCCGTTCTCTGTGTGAGAGGCTAATCTTGTGCTAACGGGGCAATTTTCCCAAAAGAAGCACAAGAAGAAGTTCCTGGATGAAGAAGGTGAGGAGCAATGTTGTGGTTGTGATATATTTAGGCATGTTTTGTTTTTTTGAAACCTGAAGGGATGTTTTTATTTTCTGCATTATCCAGTTTCCCTCAGGCAGGCATAGGTTATGGAAGCCGCACGGGATAGTTTGATTTGAATCTTTTGTTTCAACTTTGCTTTGTTTCCTTTCCCCGTTGATTCTTTCGGTTACTTATCACACACAGAGAACCATTTTGGGGCGAGTTTACTTTGTTTCTTTGTTCTCTTCAATCGATATGGACACTGGGTAGGCTATAGAGACTAAAGAAAAATCCCGTGATTTTCTTTCCATTGCTGTAAGGGACTCTACCGCACAACATCCGCCTGATGACTCCCTCTCGCGTGCCGCTGATGATGATGATGAGGAGAAAGAAGGACAGCTCGCGAGCTCTGTGATCCGGAGCTCGCGCACTGAAGCACGGGCCCGCGAGACGCTCCGGACTGAAGCACGAGCTCCGGATCACACAGCAGAATGAGCGGAGGAGGAGGAGGGCGCCTCTGGGATTAGTCTTGGATTACTTCCCTTGGAATGGGAAGACCACATTTCCTCAAGAGAGAATCAACAAACCCAAATCTTTTTTTTTTCTTCCTCCGAAAGCGCTGTCTAAGTGATTCCAGTGAAGTCAATTCAATTATTGCCTTTTCTAATTATGACATAAAAGAGAGGTCTGAAAGATTCAACTATAATAGTTGATCATTCGACTATATAACTTTTCAACGGTAACCATAGTTTTCTGAAATAGCCTACTAATAATTTAAAATAGGATTTACTTCAAACCATGTAAAATCTCCACAGTCTTTCTGTTTGTTTATTTATTTATGGCTGTAACAAAGTGACAATAAATGTATTAGGGCTGTCAAACGATTAATCGCATCCAAAATAAAAGTTTGTGTTTACATAACATATGTGGATGCACTGTGTATAATTATTTTGTATATATATATAAATACACACACATGCGTGTATATTTAAGGGAAAAAAATTATTTATATGTAAAATATTGATATTTATATAGAATATAAATTATATATAAATCTATGTACAGTATATAACTTTTATTTTGGATGCGATTAATCTTGATTAATCATTTGACAGCCCTAAATTGTATGAAATGAAGGTGTTTACTGTACACTGATATACCTGAGGCAGAATATACCCTACACCTGTCATTAGTTTTGATCATATTATCATTTCCACTTTCAGTGTGTAACTGCATAATTCATATAGATTATATTGAACAGAAATATATAGTACCGGTCAAAGTTTGGAAAGATTATTTTGATGTTTTCGAAAGAAGTTTTATGCTCATCAAGCCTGCATTTATTTGATCAAAATAAAGAAGAAACGGTAATATTGTGGTAATAAATATTATTAATATTTAAAATAATGGTTTTCTATTTGAATATACTTTTTCAAATATAATTTATTTCATTGATGCAAAGCTGAATTTTCAGCATGATTACTCCAGTCTTCAGTTACATGATCCTTCAGAAATCATTCTAAAATGCTGATTTATTATCAATGTTGGAAACAGTCGTGCTGATTAATATTCATTTGGAACCTGTGAGACTTTTTTTCAGGATTCATTGATAAATAAAAAGTTTGAAAGAACAGCATTTATTCAAAATATAAATCTTTACTATCACTTTTTTTTTTATCAGTTTATCACATCCTTGCTGAATTAAAGTATTAATTTCTTTCAAAAAAAGAAAGAAAAAAATTACTGACCCCAAACTTTTGAACAGTAGTGTATATTGGTACAAAAGATTTCTATTTTAAATAAATGCTGTTATTTTGTAAAAATTTTAATCCATCAAACAATCCTGAAAAAAATATATCACAGGTTATAAAAAATATATTAAGCAGAACTGTCTTCCAACATTGATAATAAATTAGCATATTAATGATGAAGGTTCATGTGACACAAAAAAAATCAGCTTTGCATTACAGAAATAAATCATATTTAAATGTATATTAAAATAGATAACCATTATTTTAAATTGTAAAAATATTTCACTATACAGTTTTTTCCCATATTTTTGGTCAAATAAATAAAACATTTATAAGTTTTCAAACATTTGACCGCTTCTGTGTAAACAAATATTTAAAATGAAATCTTTGTCCTCACAGACATTAAAGGTTCAAATACACCACCTTTGTAAAGTTTGACCTGCAATTAATTTAAGGTTGCCCTAATAATGCTTATTTTCTGTTTTACAACGGGGATTGTTGAATGCTCATCAACATAAAAACAGGTGACTATTCTCTAAAAGTGTTAAACCAAATTAAAAAAACAATGTTTCGCTACATAATCTTTCATATTTTCCTGTCTCTAGACTGTTTTGGTTCTCAAGAATCAGGGAATTTGTTGAAAGATTTGAAATCTCAGTGAACATGCTATGATAATCTAACGCTTAAAGTAGAATGAAGCCACTGTCTGTACAAGAATATGCTATTCAGCATTATTGAGACTGGCAACGAAATCTTGACATGATAATGACACACTGGACTTCATCATTAACAAGATTTTAGACTCAAAGAATCCTTAGTTTTGATGTGCACAAATGCTGATGTTTCAATCTTGACCTTAGTCAAGACCCATCGTGTTCAGCTGTGTGTCTTTGGTATGCAAGTCCATTCAAGGAATTCATGTGGTCCCCCCTCTTCCTTCTCTGTGTGAGTTTATGTAGGAATGAAGAAACCGCCGGTTGCCCCCAAACCCAAGCTGGTTCAGTCGCAGAAACCATCGCCTCCCCCCATCGCCCCAAAACCAGAGATCCTGCTGCCGTCACCCTCACCCACTGCGCACAAGAGAGGAAAACCTGCCGTCGCCCCCAAACCAAGCCTGCCCAAAGCCCCTCAGAAACCTCTCCAGCCGAGACAAGATCCATGCAAGACCCAGCATCCCCCTGTCTCCAAAAATGGGGGTCCTGCTCTACTACCCTCACACCTGTCACATTACATCATACCACCCTGTACTCAAGGTCATCATTTAGGTAACAGCAAATCAGAGGAGTCTAAGGAAATATGTGGAACAGCAGAGGTAGGTGTTTTCAGAGAGGGCGACAGCCCAAAAGAACAGTTGTTTTACAATGACACATGGGAACATGCATCCCAATCTGAACGGGAACAAATGCGTGCTCCCACAGACTCGTCCCACTCTTCCACAGAGGCACAGGAAGAAACAAACTCTTCCACAGTAGAAAAGGACCAGACAGGTACACAAATACAAATTTCTGCCCAGATCCCAAGTCCCAGTCCTACAGAACCCCTACAGGAACGATCTGTCAAGGAGAAACAATCCGAGAACTCTGTTTTTGGCTCTTGCGTCAGTGACAATGTTGGTTACCCTGCACCTCCCAGCAAGCCTCTCCCTGTACCCCATCCACGACGCCCTCGGAGGGCACTTCTTAGGCAGAATGTTGTGGAAATCGCACCTTCAGACACTCCAGCACCTACAGAAACTTCTGAACACATTCAGACGGACAAATTACTAGAAAATCCTGAAACCACCAGTCACGCCTACACTGTCACACCCCTAAATTTATGTTCCCCTAAAGAGAACGCGGAAAACACAGACACTGGCTCCTCAACCAACACTGATTCTTTGCACAACGTAGACTCTATTCACAGTGCACATACTGAAGATCTAGATCTAGAATCCACCCATTATTCGGTTCCAACAAATGGCGTAACTCTAGCTTCCATGAACACAGCTGCAGAGGAGGAGGGGTCACAACCTCCAGCTCCGCCACCTCGACAGAAATCCCTCCTACAAATGGTTGATTCCTTGTGCAAGGCCTCAACATCAGTGGACAGCTTGCTTTTGCATTGCCACTCAGATCTTCAGGATTCCTTGGTTAGTTGTAGTACCGGTAAAGATGAGGAGGAGCAAAGCGATGATGATGGAGTATATGGAGATTTTGCTCGATACCCAATAACGCGGAGTCTTCCTAAACAGATTAAGCTCAGCTGTGGCTCGCAAGTTGCAGCTTTAAGCAAGCCATCTTTGGATGGGGACGAAAGGTCACCGAAAGTCATGCCTAAAAAGCCCCAACGAAACAGTCTTCCCGCATCTGTTGTGTTGCGGAAGCAAAACACGTGTCCGGTAACGCACACCCCCCTCCGCTTCCTAACTCCAGTCCTCCCATATTCAGAGAACTCCCGGCACCTCCTCAGGAGAAACCCTCATGGCGAGTCGCCCTGCCTAGCATCCCTCTCTTCAGTAAAAACCAGCCGACTCGCAGTAACAGCCAACCACAGGCTGGAGGTATGGGAGCGATTTTCGTCAAACAGAGGGCAAAGTCGTTTTCCTCCGCAGATCTTCAGCGAGTGGACACTGGATCCGAATCCTCCGAGCCGTTGGTGCGATCCGATCAAACGCGACGTAGCTTGCGGAAACTTCTAGAGCTGCGTGTGTGTGCACGGTTGCTTCCGAAGTTGCTTCGCGGTGGACAATCCCTGGATTGCACTCGTACTGATGCGGAATACGATGATCATAAAGCCACGCCCACTAATCAGGTCACCCCTGGTGGCGATGAGGAAGAAGCTCAAGGTGACAGTGAGCCTGACTGTGGGGTGGAATACGAGAACGTCCCGTTATACGAGGAGATTCCAGAGTATATGAACCTGCCCTGGGTCTATTCCAACCCGGATGCAGACACAGGAGTGTATGAAGTGCAGGAACCATGTGAGGTGAACAGGTCAGTTTGTGCATGCATATATATGTATACACATGTCAAAATTGTATTAAAGCTACACTGTGTAACTTTTAGTTTATTCTTAGCTAAAAACACTTAGTTCTTTCAAAAATATATGTGCTCATTAATGTATATTTACTTCGTTCAAGTAATAAAGTATTCTCATGAGTGTATAATATGCCATTGAAAATACATACGGGTAAGGTGTTCTAATGTCGGTCGCCATGTTGCCCCTCCATCTTGAAAGTACATTAGCCAAAGAGGGACATACCCGTTGATTCAAGCTTCGCCCTTCGCGTTTATGGACGAGGTCGAACTGGAAGCCATGTTAATCTTGGACTACATTGGCCACAGTAGGAGTTAAATTGAAATCGAAAGTAGTAAAATATCCGAAAACGTTCTTTCAGATATATAGTGTAATGGCTTAAAAGTGTAAAGGGTTATTTCACCCAAAAATGAAAATTAAGTCATTAATTACTCACCCCCATGCTGTACCAACCCCGTAAGACCTTCGTTCATCTTCGGAACACAAATAAAGATATTTTTTAATAAATTTAAGAGGTGGATCACTGCTACGTAGGCTCTTAAGGGATCGAAACTTGACGGCCCAGAAAGTCAGTGAAGAAAATGTTTAAATATTCCATGTGCCTACTGTGGCTCAAGTGTAAGTTTATCAAGCGACGAGAATACTTTTTGTTCGGAAATAAAACAAAAATAACGACTTTATTCGACTATTCCTTTTCTTCCTTGTAGGCCTGAGACGAGAGTTCAAGAGATTTCCACGACGCATGCAAATCACTTGAAGTCTCGTCTCAGGCCCAGAAGGAAGAAAAGGAATAGTCGAATAAAGTCGTTATTTTTGTTTGTTTTTTCGCACATAAAGTGTTCTCGTCGCTTGATAAACTTATAGTTGAGCCACTTTTTCTTCATTGACTTTCTGGGCCGTCAAGTTTCGATCCCTTAGGAGCCTATGTAGCGGTGGTATAACGCTAACTACATTAAGATAACTGTAACGCTAACTATATTAGCATCCACACCAACGAATGAGATCATTCTGTTTATTTTGAACACATTCTGCAGTTATGTCGTTTGACGCTTTAAATGGTTTAGCTCTTTAAAGCCGATGGATTCTAATTGGCTGTGAATGCTGTCATTATCATTATAGACTTAGATATTATGCTGTAGACTTTTCTATTCTCATAGAATTAGTATGATTTTTAAAGGGTAACTAAACACCAAAACAACTTTTTTTAGTTAATGATCTGTAAGAATGGAGCTTCATAAATGCTGTTCATTGATTCGAGTACATTTTTTGACAATTGAGTATAAAGTGTTTTGATTTTCAAATATATGGTGTAAAAACGTCTGAGTGCTGCCCTCTTCAGGTTAAACGGAAAGCTCCTGCAGTAGGGGTACTTGCTGACGTAGCGAACTCTCAGACGCACTCTGTCACACCCTTGGTGCGAGCTCACCACGCCCTTGGCAGCCCCTGGTATAAAAGCATCTGGTTCCGTCAAAACTACTGTAGCGAGTCAGGAGTTGGATTTATGAATATTGAAAACGATCAGGATACTATAGCATATAATAGCATCTAGTTAGCATAGCATTTATATAGTTATTTAGATTATTTTTGAAAACGACCAGGATAGAGTATTGTTGCATCTATTTAGCATAGCATTATATAGATAATTTAGATTATTTTGTGTAGCTAGTAGCATAGTACAGTTAGGATAGCTTCAAGTTAGCATAGATTTATCAGTGTTTAGTACAGTGATCAGGATAGTAACGGAATAGAGCTGGACATGGGCTTCTCCACACAGCTCCACACGCAGTGCCAAACACTGCTCGTCCTGCATGGACTCCTCCACCGCAGCGGCGTCTTGATGTGAGTGATCATGGATATTTTAATCACAATTTATGGTTAGGATAAAGTTAATCCTCTAGGGTCGACAAACGAGCCGGTGCATTTTGCTGGATTTTTTCATATAGCGGCATAATATCAATAGCGTGCGCTATTGAGATCAACTCGACGACATAACTCATCAGATGCCGGTCGCGATGCGGGAGTTAAGACCGCAGTTTGAGCCAGCAGCTCGAATGGATTTGGCCCTGTGTATACATACAATTCACCCTCATCCACTTCAGGTGAAGGTGAGGGAGAAAAGTCCTCGACTTCAAATGGCCGCTCTGTTGCAAAGGCAGCTATTGAGTCACTCCAGACTAGTCTCGCTCTATTTTAGAGTCTGACAGCAGCTGTCTGTCACTCACGGCGGGTCTCAGGTGCACGCCCCCTTAGCCCCGCTGGGGTCTGCCCATTTTTTCAGCATTTTTCAAATATTGCTAGTGGGTGGAGTCAGGCTCTGACCAGGGGTTTAGTTACCCTTTAAAGCAATATAGTTATCAATGTAGTTATCATCTGGGTGTGAATGGGCCTTAAGAAAATCATGGATTACAAAACATGCTGCATTTTGGTAAGCTGGAGCTTTGCCAGTTTTAGCTGTTGTGATTTGTTAAAACTACTGAGCAAATATATATTTTAATGTGCACTGAGTTGGATTAGTCTGTGTGGTAGTGGAAGTGTGTGTGTGAGAGGGCTACAGTCCACTCTTTGA